GTTAAAGTCAGAGCATACACATTCACTGAGGCACTTAGTACAAATCAAACAGGAGAATTTAGCATTGAAATAACTAGGCGAATTTAGCATTGAAATAACTGAGTGATTAGCTAGTGACTGGTCACAGAAATGACTATGTTGAAGTCAAGGCCTACACATCTGAGCTATTCACAGTACTATATAGTGATCCAATAAAAAACTAAAATATAAATTACCTTAATGTTATCAATAAACTCTATATTCTCCAATCAGCTAAGCTACCAACAATAAGTCGTTATATATCACAATGCTATATATACGTAGCTATCCGTGGTACTAAAGTTGAGGGTAAGAATCCACCCATTTTTTCGCCATATAGCATAATAAAATTAGAAATTTACTAGAGGAAAGTACCTACATTAAAATTAAACGGGGGGGGGGGGGGGGGAGTTTACCTATTGATGGTGTGAAAAGGGAATTTATAAGAGCTGCGAAAGTTTGGTACAGTATATTTTTCAAGTAGTGGTACCCCAAACTTTCGCAGCTCTTATAAATTCCCTTTTCACACCATCAATAGGTAAACAGCCCCCCCCCCCCCCCCCCCCCCCCGCGCCAAACGGCAAGTCCACCGGCAGGTACACCACACCTCTTTTCTAAAATCGGCCAATCAAATGCTAATTTTTATGCTAATCTTTGTCAGGACACCTTGTTTGCTCGCACACAGTTTAAAGGTCCGCGGTCTGAGCGTGGTTGTGTTTCGCTAAATTCTCCTGTTTGATTTGTACTAGGTGCCTCGGTGAATGTATATGCTCTGACTTTAACATAGCTATTTCTGTGACCAGTTACAAGCTAATCACTCAGCTATTTCAATGCTAAATTCTATGCTATTTCCTTTGTCAAGGGGTGCCTCTGCAGATGTGTATACTTTCACTTAGCTATTTCAATGAGCCATTTCAATGCTAAATTATATGCTAATTCCTTTGTCAAGGCGCTTTGTTTCTTCTCACACAGCTTAAAGGTCGTGATCTGAGCGTGGCTTTTTTCACTCCAGCGCTGTCCTCCAGACAGTCTCGTCCCTTCACCTGATGAAGGCCGCTTGTGTTGTGGCCAAAACGTCGTGATTTTTGTTATTTTATTTATTACCTACGTGACTTTACCCAATAGAACCAAAGAGTATGATATTCCGAAACTTGCTGACCATTGTTTAAATAACACTTTTCATGGAGAGGGGATTTCTTTAAACAAAAGGAAGGAGCAGCAATGGGCTCTCCTTTATCTCCTGCTATAGCAAATCTTACATGAAAAACTTTGAAATAAGAGCACTTGCCTCGAGTACATTAAAACCATCTTTTTGGTTTAGATATGTGGATGACACTTTGATTGTCTGGCCACATGGTAAAGATACACCTGATTCAAGAGCCGAATGGCTCACAGGACTATACCAAAATAAACTGAACTAAACTGAAATCTCAATGCACAAAACCCGGCCATCCAGTTCACCATGGAAATGGAGGCGAATAACACACTCCCGTTTCTAGATATTTTGCTTGGACATGGCCTAAACGGTAAAATAACACACGGCGCTTACAAAAAGCAAACGCACACTGATGCCTATCTGAATGCAGATTCGCATCATCATCCAGCTCAGAAATCCTCTCTCATCAAGACGCTCATATATCGGGCTAAAACAGTGTCAGATGGTGAAAGTCTAGTGAGAGAGATCAAACACGTTAAAGCACTACAACAGAATGGCTACAATAATGCTCAAATTAACAGAGCACTGAATTCCAAATCACGATCGCAAAGCAATACTGCTGAAAGCGATCAGATTGTTAAAACAATTAAAATGTAATATATCTCAGGAGTAACTGACAAATTTGCCCGTGTTTTGCAAAAGCATACCATTACAGTAAGATTTGGTACAGTACACAAAATTCAAAAACTAGTATCTTGCACTAAAGATGCATTACCTAAATTATCAACAGAAGGTGTATATCGGATTAATTGTTTATGTGGCAGATGCTATATTGGACAGACGGGACGTAACATCAGCATAAGACTAAAAGAACACCAAATAAATTAAATTATCTCAAACACAACTGTCGGCAGTGGCAGAACATGCTTGTCAACAAGGACACTCAATTGATTTTGATAACGTTGAAGTGTTGTGTAAAACTAATTATTACTGGCAAAGACTAATTAGAGAATCCATTGAAATTGAGATAAATAGAAATAACTTTAATCGCTCTGACAGCTACATGCTTAGTGCGGCTTGGAAGCATATGATTAAATAATACATATTACAATTCCGTATAGGGGAAACACATACTAATTAACGGATTACTAACGTAGCATATAATCACAATAAAACACATAAAAACTAATTACTAATCTACAACTCATTACTAATCATAACCATTACCTGATTACCAATCGATTATATAATTACAATACCCCCCCCTCCGCCTCAAATCACTGCACCTGAATGAGTTAAATGACGTCACCCTGCTGCTCTATTTAAGACCGGGAGCAAGTGAGGGCTTTACCATTCTGGCGAATTGCCCGATGATGCTGGATGTAATTACCAGCGAAACGTCGTACTCAAAACTGTAAATATTGTGGATTCACTCTTCAACACACGGGTGGGCTAAAGTATAGAACTATTTGTCTTTTGTCAACGTGACACTTTTTTGCCCATTGTCCGTGTCGGGTGGTGGAGGGTTACGACACATTTATAAATAATGCGATCTTTGTGAAGTAATTCCAGCTCCGGATTCTCATCCTTCGAGCAAGGTTCCACAAAGCAGGAGAGCGAACTCCATTGAACATACCTTTTAAGATAATTTCATTTGGAGAGAAACATTCTCGCCAGGGTGGCATAAACGCATGTGAACCAGTGCTTACGAAGAAAGTTAAAGTAGACCAACGCAGACTTAGTAAACTCCCAAAAGTTCCTGGGCTTTGAGGCAACCAAAAGTTGGAGGCCCGGCAAGTCTGTTCATGAATCCATCTTATGTGAACCTTTGAGCGTAATCCCCTCGTATGTGTGAATTTTATCTGAGAAATTTGGTTTTATCCAACGTGCAAAACACTGGTTAAATAGACGATGGACCGAACATCCCGATTTAAGATATTCATTAAAAATTATTGTTACACGAGGCTTTTCTGAATAAATATAATTCAAAGTCTTGGAGCCAGCGAGCTTCCTACTGTGTCGGTTCAAAACATGGTTAAAGTTACTTAAACAGGATATGCAGGATTCACTAAATACTCAACCGGACAAAATGCATTTATGTTTCTCTCTCGAAATTATGAAAACAATGTCCGTACACGATGACCTTCTGGGTAACCGCCACCTTTTGAATGAGCCCTGATTTAAAAAAATCACTTTCAAGAACATTTTGTATTGAGGACGTAGCTTGCAAATTAAACCGGGAACGTTCGCAACCATGTGCTCATTGCATAATGGGATTTGCGACCACAAAGCATGTTAAGAATTCATCAGGAATAAACTTTCCATAAAGGCCGTCCTGCCAGAATTTTTATTAACACTTGGCTTCAAACATCCGGGATAAACCTGCTGACGCATCGTTTCAACAATGACTCGCATGTAATGCAGTTGGCTGCATAGGTTAATGTCAAATGCAGAACCGAAATTTTTTTTCTCCCCAAGACAAGAAAGTATGCAACAGAAACATACCCCCAAATGTGTCATAGATACACTATTTTGATATAACAGAAACATCAATATGCGCGCCTTAGCAAAATCTACTTACAGAGGAAGATATGCAAGTTATATATAAAAAACAGTGCATTGTGGATTTGGGAGCCCTCTGCTACAGATAACATTTGATTCAATGGTCAAACGATTTCCAATTCAGTGGACATGCCGAGTATCCATAGCCAAGTAGACGAGACTGAATGCCTTATGACAGTTTAAGTTGGCAAGTCGTTGCTGTGTAGCTGTGGGCATGTGGCACATGGGCTAGGGAGCAATACAGATCTGGTTGGCATGGGCTTTAAAGATGAATTGTACCAATACAATTGACCCATCCCTCACCCCACCAATCGCACAGTGTGTTTCACTGGCACGAACATTTGTTGCAAGCAGTGACCCAGTGTGTCACTGGTCCGTAATTGTCTCGTTAGAGTACCATGTGCTCCATTTCAGCTCCAACTGTTCATTTAAGAAAAATACTCCACTCCCCTTTGTCACTTTAGCCATATTTTGTCATTGACCAGTTGCTGTGAGCACATGTTGTACGGACAGTTTATTTTTAGTAATGTGAATTGGATATTCCGAAGTCACCACCACCCGGTACCTCTCACAGGACACACACAAACTCCCAACTAAAATCTCTCCCATGCCCTGTACCAAGGCATCACAAAGGTTATCTGCGAGCCTCAGAAATGTCCACTGAATCTTAAAACAATATGCACAATGCTAAAATGTATTTCCCGAAGCTCACTTTATAGACAGACAATAAACGTTGAAAAATTAAACATCGGGGTGTAAAAACGGTGCACAGTGAATGAAGACTTTTGAATAAATCATATTTAGCATCAACTTCCAAACCCACCACCAACTGCTCAGCTGGTTAATAAGGTTTTGCTTGCTTATATCCCCTATTGATAGAATTGTATCCCAAGATTTTTTTCTACAAGGCTGCTCATCAAGTGCTGCAGTGCAATCCTATTCAGAAATGCGAAATTAACTCCCGGTGCAACAATTAATTCATATTCTTAGTTCTTTCGGTAAAGTCACGTTGAAGGGAAACAACGAAATAATGAAATATATATAAAACAATAAAAATTCTCACGACGTTTCGACCATAACACAAACGGTCGTCTTCAGGTGTGTTGGTTTGCATACAAAAAAAATGTATGCAACGTGACTTTACCGAAAGAACTAAGAATATGGTGTCCTATAGTTTAGAATCTTTTTTTTCTCCTGCTTCGGCAGCTCTCTCGCTATATTTTTTCACCTGATGATGATTGCTTGTGTTGCGATCGAAACGTCGTAATATTATTTTTTTATCTACGTGGCTTTACCGAAAGACCCAAAGAATATAATTTATAATCTGTTTTAATACTTACAATACCAAGGGGTTGATTCATTATATATATTTTTAAGTCTATAAAATATATTACAATTTTTAAAATCCAGTCTCATATAAACACACGCATTTGCGGGCACACAAACATGGTTTGAGTAGAGCGTGGCTCAATGAGTATTCCTCTATTGAGCCACGACTGCGCCGAAAGGACAAAGCTCCTTCTATAGAGATGGGAAGAGCCAACCCTAAACACAACATAGCCGAGCTACTGACTGCACTGCAGGCATAATGATCAATTTAGCATCATAAATACAATGGTATACAAATAAAGCCCAGATCACCAGATAAACAACACGTGGGCACCTTTAAGGAGGCACTGTCACGAGAGGAAATGTGCAGTTGACACCTGCTTGTGATTCATCAGGTTACAATGCAATTAACGTTTCTTGCAGCCACGGTTGGAATGTAAGGCAAGGCTGCAGCAGAAGGCACTGTTTACCTGCCATATCACCCTTTCCCTATCCCACCTGTAGGGATAACAAAAACAATACACACATAAAATGTAAAGAACGGAAGGGCTGAAGTGCGTTTAAAAAAAACTCAGCTCAAAATTTCAATTCTTTATCTTTGGAAGGAATTAGCATTATTCTAACTTAAAAATGCAGACGAGAGATAAAAATTATCAGTCAAGTTATGGGGAAATGTTTAGCCCCAGGTGAACACTAAATTGCAGACAGCCTTAGTCAATGAATGCAAATAACTGCATACAGTTTAATGTTTTCCTTTCAGAGCACTGTATATGAAAAGAAATTAACATAATGCATTGCAACATGGTCGTACCACAAACATCACTCTGTACCTTGTGCTAAGGAGAGAGCACGTTCCAAGGTTTGTTTTAATTGTGCTTGAAGTTATTTAAATGGATTCCACCTTTGCTATGCGAGAGGCTGTCCTCGGAGCACTGCATGCAGATTGGATGCATCAAGAGAAAAATAATGAGAATATGCCTGCAGAAATGAAACATCATCACTCGGTACATCCAGGGCTTCAGTGCAAGTCAAATTTTAACAGAAGGAAATTACAAAACTCAAGTAAATGTATGTGGCACACTTGGTTGTGTACAGCACTCAAGAGATGAAGCTATGGCAAGAATGCAAAAAATTGTTCTGGGTGCTAGCTGGCAACAATGACAATATATGAATATTGCGACAATATATGAATATTGTCATTGTGTAGGAATATTGTCATTGTTCATATATTGGATGAATTTCACAGACAACCTGGATACAAATGCATACTGACCTCGTTCAAAGGTATCTGCCACTCAATAACTTGGTCCCTCATTATTTTTTAAAAAAATGCTTAATTCACCTGAAGCCCCATTTGCACATCACGTTTTGCTCTTATACCGATGTTGCATAACCTTCAATAAATGCAAAGCAACACTTTCATTTTGATGTTGACCAATACCGAAAACCTTTTCATGATCACGCCATTTGGCTTTGAGAGTTCGAAAAGCGGTAATGATCTTATCCGTTAGAACGTTCCTCAGCAAAAATAAATGTTTGATGGGCAAGGCACCGGCCTTGACTGCAGATAAGATTTTTTTTAAATAACCAGCCTCAGACAGAGCACTGAGTTAAAGGTCAGCGGGGCACATTGTACAAGACCAGAAATAACCAGGTCACGTTTGATCACATATACACAAAAAAATTACAACACGAGACGTTTGCACACAAGCTATCTGCATGCCCTGCAATTGGTTTATCCATCGGTGGTGCCAAGCGACACTTCACCGCCTGGTGAAGAGTTCAATCGGCTTGCTACAGCATCAAATGTTTCTTGAGTTTTCATTCCAATACTCCACGATACCAAACGCCACTTATGCGGTTCGCCAACATCCCACGGCTGCCTCCCTTGTTGTTTATACTCCCAGTGCGAGCTGCAGAAGCTTTTGTCCTTAACCTTAACTTACACAACACTTCCTAAGACAGTATAAAATAGCTTTTGAAATAAAGTGCCACAATTGGTACATATACGAAATGTATATAAGAATTGCAGCACGTATAAGCCATCCTTGGTTTGCATGCAAACCTGTAGAAGAAAAAGTAACACAAATGTATATTTTGAGTTCAAGCACTGCTTGTTTTGGTAATTAAATATTCTTGTACAAGTGGTCTCAATTATATTCTGTACCAAAAAATGCCTCCAGCATCTTATTTAATGTAAAAACAGAAATTTACAATAAAAAAGCCAACTTTTTTTAATTACCCTATTACAAAAAGGATATCAAATTAATCATTAGCAGCAAAAAAAACGTCAATTATCTTTATTTAAATAGTACAGGCCTTTTTGAAAGTGCACAAGAAATACCGGTAGCATTTGGGGTGGCACTGCTGTCCCCAGCCCTGGCAGAGTGCTGTCGAGTTGTGGCCAATTATATTTGTGCCAGCTGTTCCAGAAAACTGATACAGCAACCGCAGGAACATACGCAATGGACAACAGATCCACTGGCCGGCTTCGTAATTAAATCAAGTTTCAATCAAGTAGCAGTAAACGGGACTTGTGGCTATATGGTAGGGCACTTGACAGTATTTTTCTATGGCTTGAAAGGCCATGTATATTACATCACACTTAAGAAAACAGACTATTTGACAAACAGCGCCACCTACGTAGAGGCTGCGTGACAATAGCTGGCAATCGACTAGGTTTAGAAACGTGACGGCTTACCATGTTGTTTGAGTTGGACAATCAAATACCACATGAATCACATTGCGCAGTTTTGCAACTGCACCCGATTTTTCAAACCCCGCTGAAGACATTCCATAGAAAACTGACACAAAATGTTCAACATGTACTGCATTGTGGACTAACAATTTAAATCCAGCACATCTTAGGAGGTGGCTGTCTTCTTAATGGTGATAAACTTTGGCAGATCCAAAACACAGTACACATTTCTGATGATTACTTCCATTGAAGGAAAACTCAGCTTAAATTTACGCTTGCAATGTAGACCTTGGCTTACAAAGAGGATCGTAGCGCATTTTTTAAAAAAAACGTCTTTCCGGGATGAGTCAAAAAAGAATCCAATTAACAAGTCAGCTGGATTTTTCAGCCCAAGCAGCCCCTTGAAGAGCTGATGATGATGTTCAATATGGTTGTGGGTGCACATGTTGACACCGTAGGCGAGTTCCTTTCAGGCTGAAGTCATTTTGAGGACTCGATGAACCGGCAATGCCTGCTGCTGCTACTGTCCCAGCGCCCGTCGTCACACAGCTTAACCACCACCCCGCTTAGTGGACGTGGACGAATGGATGTCGCAAAAGATCCTCTGCTGACGGACGAAGTTTGGCCTCGACGAAGATGCGGCGAAGAAGATCACGCGCATGCTCCGATGCGTGCAGGGGCAGCCGAGGGTCTGTGGGCTGAGTGGCGATCTTGAATATGGCAGCCATGGCCTCGAACTCTGCCCACGGTGGCTTCTCCGTCAGCATCTCCACCACGGTACAGCCTACGCTCCTGCCACGTGCACGAAATCAAAGGAGCCACCACATCGTCAATGAACAAGAGCGTGTCGAGAGTTCTGAGCTGGAGCTGCGACCAATCCTGGTTACAAATTTAAACTCCTACCCCAACTAAATATAAAACCAGACTCGGCATTGACAATTCCCTTGGTTACCAAAAAAAATTATTTGTTTTCATTTAATTTTCACATTCACCTATGCATAAAAGCAGAAATATTTGTTGTTACAGGATACAGTATCGACTTGAAAGGCCTGCCATATACTTCAGTGTCACGGGTTCTCTACTTGGAGATAGTAAATGTTAGGGCTGTAATTAATGTGACTTTTTTATTCAATTAATTATTTCGATTAGGGACAGTAATTTGGTTCAAGAATGTTTTTCTATTTTGGTGAATGTAGCACATCTAAGTGACAGCAGGGGTCACCGGAACTACTAGCATTCAAAATTTACAAATTACCGCAAATTACACACACACACACAATTCGATGCACGTGTTGAGGTGCAAATGACGACTCGAAAGGCAGATCTTCGTGTAAGGGCTTACGCCGGTTATTTATTAAGGGTCAAAGTAACTCTTCCCCAGGGTTAGGGGTTCTGCACGAGGTCCTTCACCCGGACCTTCACTCTGCCTGTCCCTTAGCTCGGCTAGCTCCCGGGCTCTCTCCTCTGAGTCGGATCGGGGGATTAGCCAACACTGACCGACCGAGGAGAGCAGCCACTCCAATTGCTGCCGCCGGCTTCTCTCAAGACTCCTCGAGCCCTACTCCTGGTTAACTCTTCCACCGTTCACCTTCCCGGGCTCCCAGTGACCCCACTTTCGTCACGGGGTCCCCCCTTAAGTACCTCGAAGAGACATGACGTCACTTTCCATGATGTCATCGCACCGGAAGGTGCGCGTGACGTAACATCCCCGTACTACTCCTCTACACACGTATTGGCAGTATAAGAACCAGGTAAGGCCCACTGAGCTGTACAGCTCTAAATTAGAAGCTACCTGGTCACAAATGATAGCTCGACTAAGTGGCGTATCACGTAGAAGTGTATAGCAGCCAAATACTATAAACGCACGTTTCTAAATATGGAGGAAAAATCCACCCGACCACAGGGAGAACATGCAAACTCCAAATATACAGCAGGCATCAGGGTCGGGATTGAACGCACGACCTCCTATATACCGGGCGAGGTAATTAACATCTCGTGCCTTTCACACGCAAGCGCTCACGGGCGCGCCTCACCAGATGTCTGCCTTGCGGCCGTAGCCCTCGCCATTGATGACCTCAGGGCTCATCCAGTAGGGCGTCCCCGTGACTGAGCGCATTGCCGTGCCCTGCGAGCAGATCGTCTGCAGTCGCTTGCTCGCGCCGAAGTCTCCCAGCTTCACGTTGCCCGTAGAGTCGCGCAGGATGTTGGCACCTGCACGGATCAGGACACACGTGCGCACACGTGAGCATGAGGGGACGCGAGCACTCCCGTAGGCGGCTCCTCTACGTGCAAAGAGCTCGCCGATAATATTCTCCCTCTCAGCGTGCACACGATACGATGTGCTAAATTCACCAACTGGTGAAAAAAATATATATACGCTCCAGTTTATTCCTTTGTAATGAATAGTGCTTGAAAACTGTTTCGAGTGCTGGATGTGAAAATGTATAATGAAGCGCAAAGACAGCTTCCACGCAAAGTACAATTTATACGGCGCTCTGTTGCCCCCTGGTGTTCCATTTAAGAAAACTGCAGGCATTTACATTGAGAGAGATGAGGGCGGACGACCCTCATGGTGCATGTGCTGAACAGCATTACAACCTTGAAGGGAAATGTTTCAAAGGTGAATGGGAACTGAATGATTCTTCAAGTATTACTACTAGTACTACCATGTACTTGTTACTTTGACTTACATCCTGAGAGCTCCAACGGCTTGCATTCGGTGTCCAGACTCTTATTTCACTCCTTATTACCAGACCCACGAAGCCAATAATGGTTCATTAATCCGAGGGAAGCCATCGGCAGTCAGAGATTTGAGTATAAAACCAAGGCAAAAGTGCACTAGGGCCCATGAAAAATCCACCATGAGCTGCACATGACATGTTATGATCAAGCAGCAGACCAGATAAGTGACAGACACAAATGGTAAAAGTTCATTCAGCCCATTCTAATCGGTGTTAATTTGTCAGTTTTTTTTTAATTCCTCAGCCATATAGTCTAGTCAACGAAGATCTATGGCGTTTTAGTCCCTTACTTTTGTCGACTAAAGCAGTTAAAAATGTAGTCTCCTCTTAACTTATTTTATGGCACTGACCTTGGAATTGTCAATTTTAAAGTCCAGATAATTTAATGTGTGCAACTATTAGAGTTCATTTTTCACTTATTTCTTTCATTAGCTCAAGCATACTTTCACTGTGCAATGTATCACAGAGTGCACTTTATTCTCATCAACTGATTAACTTCCGCTTCAAATTCATATCTCTTAAGTGTATATCATTATACTCTTCCTCATCCTAATTCATGATAGGCATGGCATTAGCTTCAGACAATATCGAAACCAATCATTGTGATAAATGCAAAGTTTAATCTACTTGTTATACTGGGGTAGAAAAGAAGGCATAATGAAGCTAGTTAGGTTTCGGAAAATAGACTGTACTTTCTTATTTGAAGAAAAAAATAACACCTCTTAAGCTTGAACTTACAAGGATTTCATGAACATCCATACTCCATAAGCCAATAATATTCTTGGATGTAAAAATACACAGACATTGACCACTCTGGTATGAAAAAAATTGTCACTCGAATATTAAGTGCATTTAATTTATACTTTATATGCTACCTGTCTCCTTCATTTAGATTGTATAATTTTTGTCTCGTCGTAGTCAGTCTTTGGCAGTCATTATCACGTTTGACGATTATCAACCACTCAGTCAGTGTTGACCAAACTTAAAATAACGCTTTGTTAATAAATAATTTCGTCATTAATTTAGGCCAAATATGAGCACTGATGCAACATAGGAAAGTCATTCCCATTTACAGATTCGACACATGGCATGGAACCAAACGAAAGGCACTGCATGTGATAAAGACGCCACAGTGCCACCCCTGGCAGTCCCACCATCCATCAAAACCTAATTTTAGAGCCTTTAACGCAAGACCGAGGAGGGCTCCCAATATAAATGCTTGAAAATGCACAACCCTTACTCACCCTTAATGTCACGATGAACAATCATGTTGCCGTGCAAGAAAGAGACACCCTCCAGGATCTGCCGCGTGTACTTGCGCGTCACGTTCTCCGTCAGTGCCCCGTACGCACGCAGCTGGTCCTTGATGGAACCCTGCACAGAGGTGAAATAAATTTTTGTAATGCTAATATCAATTGCTGTAAAAAAATGTACCATTTGTTTGTAACGCACGACCATTTGTCAAAAGGTTTAGAATATAAAGGGGACACTAAACAGGTACTGTGCATTGTCTTGCATGGGAAAAATGTACAGAGTGCATCTAGTAGATTTTTTTTTACAAAGCCAATGGAAAGCTTCACTTGAGCTGCTAAAACAAAAAAAAACAAATATATGTCATGCCATAACATACTCCATTCATATAATGTGAACATGTGGACTTCAGCAAACTATATCCATAAGTGCATTTAAAAAGCTCAGCCCAGCAACCACAACATAACAGTGATGTTAAATAACAAATTCCATCTTCAAATAACAAACAACAATTGTACAAAAACAAGTGTGCCGTGAATATTAACGTTCACGATTAATTTCAGAATACATGTCATTAACAAGAAGCACAGCATGTTCTTAGCTCTTTCGGTAAAGTCACGTTGAAGGGAAACAATAAAATAATAAAATATATATAAAACAATAAAAAAAATTCTCACGACGTTTCGACCATAACACAAACGATGACGACTTTACCGAAAGAGCTAAGAATATGAATGACTGCAGTCACGAAAGCTTTAAATCAAAATTTAAGCACAGCATGCCTCCCAATCAATGTGAACACTTGGGTAAAGGTGCAGCATTGCTCCACATGGCCTTCATACTTCGCATATTTCCCGACTGCAGCCTGGCCCATTTCCACAGCGCGAACAGAAAATGGACACGACCACGGCCGCTTTTTTCTTTTTGCGTGGCACGAAATATTACCGACGCGCGCAGCAGCTACTCACGCATCTGCTCTCAGGCACTCTGGCCGGCTGTGTCTGAGGAAACCCCCTTTTTGTTTCCCGAGAGACTTGAAAATCGCTCCCACGCCCACGTCAGATGTTCGGCTTCTACTCGTTCCAGAACGCGTCCTTCCGAGCCGCAATAACAAACCGCAGACTTTAGAAGCAGTCTGAGTTTTAAAAAAAAAAAAATTCTTTTTAACCCTCAAAGTTATGGCTGTCAGTCAAAAACAGGAGGAACAACAGGAAACCAAAGGCCTCCACAGCCAAGACCCACTGCCAGCATTCCTGACTCCATTAAACAATGTGCTGACACGTGCAACCACAGTGGAACAAAAAACAGCTCAATCTGTGATGTGCAGATCCCCCATATAAAGTACAATGGCCCGTAAACGTTTTCCTCATCATCAACTGCATCCAAACTATAAAAATTAGCTATTTTTATTTTACTAATTACGGCCCACTGAGCTATAAAACTATTTTCAGAAGCAACCTGGCCACAAACGATAGCTCCACAAAGTGGCTTACAGTGAGGGAAAAAAGTATTTGATCCCCTGCTAATTTTGTACGTTTGCCCACTGACAAAGAAATGATCAGTCTATAATTTTAATGGTAGGTTTATTTGAACAGTGAAAGACAGAATAACAACATGAAAATCCGGAAAAAACACATGTCAAAAATGTTATAAATTGATTTGCATTTTAATGAGGGAAATAAGTATTTGACCCCCTCTCAATCAGAAAGATTTCTGGCTCCCAGGTGTCTTTTATACAGGTAACGAGCTGAGACTAGGAGCACTCTTAAAGGGAGTGCTCCTAATCTCAGCTCGTTACCTGTATAAAAGACACCTGTCCACAGAAGCAATCAATCAGATTCCAAACTCTCCACCATGGCCAAGACCAAAGAGCTCTCCAAGGATGTCAGGGACAAGATTGTAGACCTACACAAGGCTGGAATGGGCTACAAGACCATTGCCAAGCAGCTTGGTGAGAAGGTGACAACAGTTGGTGCGATTATTCGCAAATGGAAGAAACACAAACAAACTGTCAATCTCCCTTGGTCTGGGGCTCCATGCAAGATCTCACCTCGTGGAGTTGCAATGATCATGAGAACGGTGAGGAATCAGCCCAGAACTACACGGGAGGATCTTGTCAATGATCTCAAGGCAGCTGGGACCATAGTCACCAAGAAAACAATTGGTAACATACTACGCCGTGAAGGACTGAAATCCTGCAGCGCCCGCAAGGTCCCCCTGCTCAAGAAAGCACATATACATGCCCGTCTGAAGTTTGAAAATGAACATCTGAATGATTCAGAGGACAACTGGGTGAAAGTGTTGTGGTCAGATGAGACCAAAATGAAGCTCTTTGGCATCAACTCAACTCGCCGTGTTTGGAGGAGGAGGAATGCTGCCTATGACCCCAAGAACACCATCCCCACCGTCAAACATGGAGGTGGAAACATTATGCTTTGGGGGTGTTTTTCTGCTAAAGGGACAGGACAACTTCACCGCATCAAAGGGACGATGGACAGGGCCATGTACCGTCAAATCTTGGGTGAGAACCTCCTTCCCTGAGCCAGGGCATTGAAAATGGGTCGTGGATGGGTATTCCAGCATGACAATGACCCAAAACACACGGCCAAGGCAACAAAGTAGTGGCTCAAGAAGAAGCACATTAAGGTCCGTCTTGGAGTGGCCTAGCCAGTCTCCAGACCTTAATCCCATAGAAAATCTGTGGAGGGAGCTAAAGGTTCGAGTTGCCAAACATCAGCCTCGGAACTTTAATAACTTGAAGAAGATCTGCAAAGAGGAGTGGGATAAAATCCCTCCTGAGATGTGTGCAAACCTGGTGGCCAACTACAAGAAACGTCTGACCTCTGTGATTGCCAACAAGGGTTTTGCCACCAAGTACTAAGTCATGTTTTGCAGAGGGGTCAAATACTTATTTCCCTCATTAAAATGCAAATCAATTGATAACATTTTGGACATGCGTTTTTCTGGATTTTTTGTTGTTATTCTGTCTTTCACTGTTCAAATAAACCTACCATTAAAATTATAGACTGATCATTTCTTTGTCAGTGGGCAAACGTACAAAATCAGCAGGGGATCAAATACTTTTTTCCCTCACTGTAACATGTGGAAATTTAGAGCAGCCAACTACTCTAATCACATGTTTTTGAATGTGAAAAAAAACAGAGGACCAAGATAAAAAGCCACACAATCACAGGTGGAACATGCAAACTCCAAATATACCGCAGGACGGCAAAAGAGTCTGGGATAGAACTCACGAACTCCTGTATAACAGGCAAGGTAGTTAACATCTCGCCACCGTGATGCCCTCTCGTCACCGTGGCGCCCATTAAGAGCACCAGAGAATAAATGACTCCTTAAAAAAAGGAGAGTAATTAAATATGTAGCTATGCAAAAAAGAAATATATTAATGTATGGGTGTTGACACACAGAGCTATTAGAAGGTTTTATTTGCACCTTGCACCCTGACCATGTGGCAACGTTTCATACATTCCTCGTTTTGATTAAGCTTAGCCAGAACAAACCCATAGCCTCAGAAGGTTCACACAGATTGCAGCTTTTTGTGCAAGTAGTTAAATGTATAAACCCTGAAGAGAAACTTTATAAATAATCCTTATTTATTAATGGTAACAATGACACTTCAAAATAAATGAAGACACACATATACCTTATATTTAATATTTGAAGTTCGGTATACAATTACTGCCAGAGCCAAAATGTGATTTTTGGCTTAGGAGTAATTAATTTTCTCAAATGGTCTTAGGTATCTATATATTAAAAACTATTTATAAGCTGAGTAAAATCCAAGAAACACAAAACTGTGCAAGTTCAGAAATTGGCATGGATTAAGGAGTGTTCACCATAAATTTGTTCTCGCAGCATTGAATAACTATGTATTAAACACTGTCAAAGACTCACAGAGCCAAGAATATCAACTAGATGCACACCGGGAGCTTCTGAGGCTGTCATCACAAGAATCTCATCCTTCCTGCATGATATTCCATCTCCCTAAACCTACAGCTGCCAAAAGGGAATTCTCCCACAAAACAAACCATTCATGTCAACCATCCAACACCACCCAGTCGAAGTAGTGCATACCTGCTAACTACAGTATTCCCTCATTATTCGCGAGGGATACATTCCAGAGTTGCTCGTGAATAGCACATTGCGTGGTTAATATTGATATTACCTTAAATACATAAGCATTCTCTCTCATCACTTAATCTCATCACTTTATCTCTCATCACTCTATATCTCATTACTTGCTTTCTCTCTCTCTCTCGCTCTCAATACAGCCGTGTAGAGTTCCAGATGCGATTCACGGATAGCCAAAATCGCAGATAGCAAGTCCGTGAATAACAAGGGAATACTGTAGTACTCTGATAAGCAGGGAGTTGGTGGATATATCTGTGAAACTCACAAACTTGCCGGGCAGCAAGATGGCCAGAAGATGACAGCGAGTTAATTATTCCATTTGTATGGACCCACGTGGTATTTATATGGCTGCTCCACTTTGCAATAGAGGGCCTGAGAATGAGAGGGGCTAGGATTCGCCAGGACATACCCCAGGCATGTACTCCATGAAGATGGACAGCGTCTTTTGCTGGGGGTCACGGAGGCAGCCAAAGTACTGAACGATACGCTCGTGCTGCAAGTTCTTTAGCAGCTGGATCTCGCACTCCAGCGCATTCACCTCCTGCCATACATACACAAACACAAAGGACAAAGATCCCCCTTATAGCTTTAACAGACTATCGGGGCAAGTGCTGTTAGCGAGTACCTATGGAGGCCGGCACAGCACACTAGGGGGTGGGTGGGTGGCCAGCACCACGCCCGGCCGCCTTTGTTTTTCCCCCATTGGCGATGTTTTTATACACCGCACCAGATACTCATTTGAGGCTGAGTAGACCTAGGGGAGGCCCAGGACCGGTTCAGATATTCGCCTCACCAGTGTTGGGCGTGAGCGGGAATTGAACTCGGGTTGCCGGGTTCGTAGTACAGTGTGGTAACCGCTATACCACCGCTCCCCACAAAACATATGCATACACAAAGACGCAATAGTTGATTAAGAAACACAAGCTTGCATATCTATCAGAAACACTTATTTTAAACTAGTAATTAAAACTGAAAATCACACGCTGATATTTTTTGTTAAGTTTATTTCACCTGGCAGCATTTTAAATTTGTAATTATACGACTTTAACTAAAGTAGAATTTGCATGTAATTACTTTAGAATTAAAAGTAGAATTTCGTGTCGTATGTACGTTTTACGATAACTAAAAGGTTGTCGCTGACATGAACTGAATTACTTTTTAGAAAGTAATTTCATTACACGGCACATTTCCAGAGAAACATTTGTATCTTAGACTCTTGCCAAAAACCCACAATCTCTCAAACATGTCCACAGGCCCCAGTGAGATCGGACCCCACCTTGCTGGTCTCCACGCTGCCGGGGTCGAACTGCACCTGCTTGACGGCGAGCTCGCGCCCGGTGTCCGCGTCGTAGCACAGATACACGCGCCCGAACGCGCCCTGCCCCAGCAGCTTGCCCCGCTGCCAGTTAGTGGGGGCACGGGGCGCTGCAGGCACACAGAACGGGAGCAAACGGTAACCGTCGCACGATTAGCTTCAACTAAAACTATTTTTTATTTTACCCCGTAAGTAAGGCCCACTGAGGTTAGTAGCGCTTTTTCAGAAGGGACCTGGCAATAAAAAAAATGATAGCTCAAAGAAGTGGCTTATCACGTGGAAATTTACTGCAGCCAAATACTCTCAACGCATTTTTCTAAATGTGGAGTAAAACCCACGCAACTGCGGGGAGAACAAGCCAAACTCCAAATATACAGGCATCAGGGTCGGGATCGAACCCACGACCACCTGTATAGCGGGCGAGGTATTTAACATCTCGCCACCGTGGCACTTAACCATGCTTGCATTCCTGAACGCTGTTTAATGCTAGAATTACTTAATGGTTATTGACGATTAAAGCGTTTTATGTAATTCTATTACGTGTAAAAAAAAAGCAAGCCGTGATGTATTTAATTTCCACTTAATGAGGCTATGTTACAGCGCAGAGAATTGAAAAATATCGGCATGACTGTGGTAAAGAGTGTACCCTAGAATAAAAAAATGACCTGCGAACAATTCGATGAAATGTGCTTCTGCGGGCCATTCTCTAACACACCGCTCTGTGCCAGTTCCGTACAGACAGTCTTATCGCATGGCATGATGCCCATAGCACAAGATGAGCAAAACTGGTAAAAAAAAAGACTGTGGGCTTCATTTAAATCCATTCGGCATTGGTTTTTACTCCGAGTTCACATTACTATGAGCGGCACCGCGGCTTCGTCATGAAAAAATGATGCCAGGAGGATAGACGTAAGAAGTTGACGGGGCACGTGCGAGCTAAAGCTGGACCTCACATCGAGAGGGTGGGCTGACGTCGGCGTTCTCCGCTAGCTCCCCCCCTACGCCTCCGGCGAGTCGCCGCGCCCGTCCCTCATCTGGCTCGGGAGTGAAGATGCCGCTGCTGCCGCTGCTCGTGCTCAGCGAGACGTCCGTGGGGCTGCAGCCGAACGGCGAGAGCAGCCAGCTGTTCTGGGGGCAGCGCACTCGTGGGAATGTCTTGCGGCCTGAAAATAAATGCACGCAATGACAATTTTCAGTGTCTGTTGTTGAACAGAGTCCAATGAAATGTATTATCTCTTGTGCAAGGACTATAAAAGTACTGTAATTATCCATAACAGGTGTTTTTTGTGTTAGATTGCGTAACTATATAAATGTGTCGTTAAACCCGCCACCACCCGACACAGCCAATTAGTAAGGTTTGTCACGTAAACAGAACATGCCAATTCGTTACGAGTACAGCACACCGGTGTGTTACAAAGAAAATCCACAACATTTGCAATCTCAGATTTCTCGGTATTTTTTTTAACGCTGCTAGCTCGGCTGGTTTTGCCATCACAATTAAGTAAGGCACGATCACCACTCGAGAATAAAAAGATACACCTATCGATTATAATACTACGTTATTGTACTGTACACAAGGAAAATATCCCCCCTGCACAGCCTTAACAGACTCTATTGGCAAGTGCCGTTGTTGAGCATCTATCAAAGCAGGTATAGCACACGAGGGGGTGGGTGGCCAACACCACGCCCGGCCGCTTTTTTTCTCCCGATTGTAAATATTGTGGATTTGCTCTCCAACACACCGGTGTGGTGTACTTGTAACGAATTGGCATGTTGTGTTTACGTGACCTTACTAATTGGCTGTGTCGGGTCTTATGGATATTGGTCGTGAAAGCCTACATGTTATACTGTAATTATGTAGACTATGAATAGAAAAATTAACAGGCAATACACTGTTGGATAAAGGCCTTCCAATGTCGTATTCGTCATGGGGGTTGTTTGAATATTCTTCACCACGCTTGTCAGTATGGGTTGGTAAAGGGGAGGGGGGCGAAGGAAACCAGGTATGGTTTACATCACTCGCCCCAATGGTTAGCTGTGTCCGGGAATTTAACCCTGGTTATTGGGTTAATAGTTGTCCTTCCCCCACACATCCGATTAGAAAAATTGGCTACATACGGTGCAAAATAAGTTCAACATACATACAGTGTAGAGCATGAAACTCTCGTGACAACATTCCCCAAATAGACTATTATGTTTATTATTAATAACCAGGTGTGGTGGCACATACCTGTGATCCCACATTATGGAGGCAAGGGTTGAATGGATCATGCAGGTGTATGCAACTTAAAAAAACTGCTGGGTTATGAAATGGCCAAATATGCCAGTCCGTATGACTCTTTGAGCTATATCCCTCGATGAGTAGGGTTGATCAAGCACTCTGTTTTCTTGCTATATGCAAACAGTCCTTAAAATGGAATCAGCCAAATTATACAAAAGTAGAACTCTCTTGAATAATTCCTGATACTCAATTCGTGTTCTTAATGGATAAAGGATAAGCATGAATATATAAATGAGATTCTAATACGAGTGCACATATACAGCTCTTTTGTCAATATACTAATGGCTGAAGGCCTCTTCACCACCAGGGCTGGTTAGTGCGGGTTGTTAAAGGTTATTATTTGGGTCTTTCGGGAAAGTCACGTATAAGGTTAAAAGAAAATAACAAAAAACTACGACGTTTCGATTGCAACACGACCGCTTGTGTTGCGATCTAAAAGTCGTAGTTTTTGTTATTTTCTTTGAAACTATCTACGCGACTTTACCGAAAGACCCAAAGAAAAGGAATTCATACAGTCACGAAAGCTTTAAGTCAAGTTTTTAAAGACTATGAGTATAGACTTGGCAGCATATAAATATAGTACAATGGATGTTGCTGCAATGCCTCCGATCGCCCGCAACGTCTAATATGATAATAAATTACACCAAATTACAAATACCTAATTATTGCAGAATAAATATCTCAAAAACAGCTGGCAAGAACATAGAAGAGACATTTTGATCACCGGGCATGGAAGCCGCCTCACCTTCATTGCAGTCGTGACGCTGGAATGTGGAGTTGACTCGCCTTGGGTAGGTCCCCCCTTTTCCCACTCGTTCAAAGTACGGGAGTTCATATTCTGCAAGATCAGGAGGCACCCGCGAAAACGGAATATAAGACACTAAAAAATGAGAGTGGAATTACTTCCAGCCCCACAGCTAGGAACTGGAGGCAGCATTGCCTTCCCCGAATGCCTACATTAGGTGTGCTCGTTTCATCTACCCTTTGACCACACTGCGTAAAAAGGGCATGTGGGCCGACGAGGACGCGCACAGAGCAACACTGTGACACTGACCATGCACAATCAATGACGGTGTAAATAACGCAACTGACCTGAGAATTCTTGGTGGTTGTCAGGGTAGCTCTTGGTACGAGGGATCCAGCCTTTGTGGTGAGAATCACTTTGAAAACATGAGCAAACAAAACTCTTTTGTCAATATTAGACATTCAATTTCAATATGCTTTGCATTGTAAAACATGCGTCGTTTCATTTATTTTTGAGTAACGCATTGGCGGTTGTTATATTTCAAGTGCTTCAGGAGCTTACCCTGCCAAAGGGCTGTCCAGGGAGTGGCAGCTTCCAAAGGTGGAGTTCTCAGGGCTGCTTGGTGAAAGTGGATCAATTTCCACCTGAAATAAGCACATAACATTAGTTACTGCAAATAAATAATTGAGTTGGGAGAGGTGTATTTTATTCATCGAGTCTTCTAAATAATTATGTTAAATGAGAATGAAAACTTATTGTAAAAGCTATCACCAGTGTCAATTGAAACATATGTTGGGCAAAAAAAATAAACACTTTTTCTTTCACTTACAAAGTATCACATTCACCTACTGTAAACATGGCTATGAAAGCTCACCGTAAAAAAAAAAAAAACCCTTCAAAAGAGAAACCAAGATAAACTGGAATTTGTCGAGGGAAATAAGAGGCCCACTGTATGTGCTTTCAAACTAAAGAATGATAACGTTCCCCGTTTGTCTCCCTTTTCTATGGCTACATCTTGCAAACTTGAGGCGAAGGAATTCCGTTAGACTTTGCTCCTTGGACGCTGACAAACATTACCAGCAACGACTGCCTTAGACTAACAACCCCATGCACAAAAGCATGCACACACAAGGCATGTTATGAGCATGGCCCTTTGACAATCTACAGGGGTCGAGTTACTAAGAACAGCAATATATTAATGAGAATTATGGCAGTCATGAATTACCCACAAGGTGTTGACTGTGATGTTGCTTAAGCAACAAATTGAGTAAAAACCTGTATTTTGCTACAGGGGTTTTGCCTAGAATTAATATATTCGGATTGCACACATGAAGTAGGGTCAAACAAACCCCATGACTGATACAGTCTAGCAAGACCTTTAATCAGCAGTGGACTGAAAAGGAATGTATGTTTTTTTTATATATACACATGCATAAGTAAAGGCTTATCACATGACCGATCACATTGGATGGGGCCGAACGGGTTAGAATGCTCTTGCGTGTCGATCATCGCAATTGATTCGTCACTAAGATGTAATTGGATGTGGTTATCAATTACCATGACCCTATGGAGCTGATAATCGATTGCGGGTGAGCTGTGGGGCAAAACCTACGCATGTGTCGTCAGGGATGAACTCCCCCTCGCTGTGGATGCTCGTGTAGGACCCGTGCCGCGCCGCTTGCCGCTGTCCAGCTGGGATGTACCCGGGCGGCGGGGAACTCCGCTCTGGTGGGTACACACCTGCAAGCAGGGGGAGCACATACACCAAGACAAAGATGATCCCCTGTATAGCCTTAACAGACTGTTGGGGCAAGTGCTGTTAGCGAGAAGCACCTATGAAGACCGGCACGGTAGACGTGGGGGGCCAGCATCACGCCCGACCGCCTTTGTCTCCCCAGTCGCAATGTTTTTTTACACACCGCACCGGGTACTCATTTGAGGCTAAATCAACCTAGGGGAGGCCCAGGAGCGGTCCAGATAATCGTCACTTGTGTTGGCCATGAGCAGGAATTGAACACGAGTCACCGGGTTCGTAGCTAACCACTGCACTACCACACATGTACATACATACACGTACACATACGCTCCTTAACATCAGCCCCAGCTGTGGCCTTAAGAGAGTTCAAATCTTCAGCAAAACATCTTAATAGGCTAAAGCTGAAATGTTTAAATTGGTGGTCCACGGGCCACACCTGGCCAAATAAATCATTTGGAGTGGCCCGCTGAGCTCGCAGATAAGTCGGGCTAACCAAGACTATGAAACCAATTATCGCGAAGAAAGCTAACCGATATGCGAGATTTAGATGAAAAATAGATGAGTTAAATGAAAGTGAGATAAACAATGCAGTGTTGACACACTGGAGATAGAAATGTGCAGATTAGTGGCTACGTGTACACATACATAGGTTATGATATCACAGCTCCATGTGATAACATATGTCACGTGGTCCAACAGCACAAGGTAACGTTATTGTGACATGCCATAAAATATTGTTTAACCAAAACCATGAACTACAATTGGTTACACTTGCCATGGAATCAAGACATGTTTTATGCCACTCATAAGAGCAGAGCATGTGTATTGAGGTCATTGTCAAATGCCAAATATCGAAAGTGAATAAAAAATGCAATAAGACATGAAGAACTGTACGCAGGCTATCACATGGTCGCATAAACAAAAATATGTATTTAACCAAATATATTACGTTATGGCCACTGGCCAAAATCATGAGCAAATGTTGCCGCTCGCATCTGCAAGCACAGCTGAGCAAAGCTGAAGTGAAATGTTTTGTTCTTGCAATATTGTTGTTAGGAACAACATTATTGCCTGTTACTCCGTTTAGCACAGTATGCTAACAGTGGAGAAATTAGGCTGTATTCAGGTCCACAACAATAAAATGTTCAGTCTTTGAATTATACAATTGTATTGCTTATGTATTCCAATTGACTGGATAAGGTCAAGTATTCACCAAACATCAGCTGAATTTTTATGCAAATGAAAAAGTAGAGATGTCTAATAGAAAATGCTCCACTCACTTGAATTACTTTTTTCTGTATAGTCCCGTTTGTATTTTGATTATTTTAATAAAAAACTCTGGTTGTTATTAAAAGGCTGAGAAAGTGGCTATTTTTTCTTGCCCAGTTTCCCCGATGAGTTCCCTATGCCTGGCCGCCAAGGTTGAGAGCAGAATTGGGAGATAAAGGTTCGTCTTATACTTTATTATACAGAGTGATCAATGCATAGATATCCCACTGATATCTAATTACGTTGTTGCTTTCTTCTCAAAGTTGACGCGTGGAAGCGATGGCTCAATATTTTACAGTGGAGAGTGTAGAGGCATTGGAAAAAAACATTGTTTTCTCTATAAATTCTCCACATTACTTTAATGGAGTATCTATAAATAGATCACACTATATAAATGTACGGGGACATTATCGCACTGAATGTCTCAGAACGATGCGATTGCATCGCAAAACCGAAGCAACGAAGCTGTCGCGTTTAACATGGAATGCTAGAAAATACGTGAAGATTGCAACGGAGCAACGTGCGAGGAAAGTTGCATCCTATAAACTCGGGAACTAATCTCTTACCGAAGTGACCCTCGGTGCCCCTCTTGCGGGCGAGAGGGTCGGCCGGGTCAGGCGGACAAGGGGGCGAGTGCAGCCGCAGAGAGGGACGACAGCTGTTCGGGGACGAAGCCGGTGAGGTTGCCAACACCTGCGCACAAGCACGCACCATCATTACGGTGAGCAACTTCACTGTTGTTATACGCGGTGCCAAGTAGGCCCTAATCCAAATATACATTAATATGCCACATGCAACTAGCTTAATGGTAGCTAACACTGTCCACCAGTCTACCCAGATGTATACCACAATATGGCTGTATACCATAAAAAACGTATATTTCCTGAAAGGTGGTAGTCATTCGCACACTGCACTATGAACTCTGGGATTGAGTTTTATTCCCAGCCACGGCTAACATAGTGAGATATCTGAATGGGTTCTGGCTGCCCTACTTCACCACCACAACCTGACCAGCATTGTGAAGTATGGTCAAAATATCCCAATGACTGACAGAGCAAGCGGTTGGTCTTCATTCTGCAGTGGATTGTACATTATTACATATATTATTACAGGCTAAATGTGACAATGTTTTTAAAAAATAAAGTTATTGATCATCCACAAACCTCACCTGCAAGTGAAGAGCAATTCTTAGGCACTTCATGTGAGGGTTCCGGTCCATGAGCTCTACCGCTTGATCCAGCTCCTCCTGGCTCCTCAACGGGATCATGAGCTGCAGCAGAAAACCACACACGGTTACCAATGTCAGCAAAAAGACTACAACTTCACGATAGAACGGAAACTGCAAGTGAAAACACAACATATTAGGCATGTGAATATTCATTGATTCATAATGTATACGTCTGCATGCATAGGGTTATGTAACATATGCTGAGTTTCTTTCGCACCGTACGAAGCCAACTGTGCTAATGGGAGGTGCGAATAATAACCAATTATGTTAAACGTGTACACATGACTACGAAATAATGGTGTAACTTGCTATAACCATAATGCAAGTGTACCTCATTGCCAGAGTAGTACAGATCCATAGGCTGTCCAAACGCCACCTTGGCCTTGTGCAGGACATCCTCCAAAGATAGCGGTCTCAGGAACTGTAGGATCCTGGTTGAAAACATTTTTATTTAGCAACCTGGCATGCACAACACCTTCAGTTAGGCGAGTGGGATTTATTTTTTCGTCTCTTTAGCCAATTGTAATTTACGTTGAAGATCAATTAAAAGAAAAGAAAACGCAAACGTCACAGCAGAAGTAACAGAAAGCTAACAATGCTAAATTTAATTAACTTACCTCTTTTCCCCATTATATTCAAACTTCACTCGAATATCAGACTGAAAAAACACAACGTAACAAAGTTAATTAGAAAAGAATAGCACTGTAGTGATTTTTTTTTTTACTCATGCAATGACAGTGCTGGCAGACACTGCATGATTAGGAGAAATTCCAGGAAAACAATGCAATAACATCATGACACCAGCACGCCATTATTATGACGGCGACTGAGCATGTATTTTTTTTTAAAGAATGTTTCCTTATTAACACTTTAAAAACCGGTGTCCAGACAGCCTGGGAAACACTGGTATGGATGTATGTACGCTCAACTTAATTCCCACTGTTACGTAGCCAACCGCGCCGACGGGTACGCGACCACAAGTTACTCGCCCGTTCACTGTTTGGGTCGCGTCTCCCTTCAATAAAATATTCCCCCCCCCCCCCCAAGCATGAAGCGCGCGCACAAAGGAAGGAGACAATGCCTTTGCTCGAGAAAACGCGACGTCGGCGGCGGCCTTGGCTCGGTCGTCCTCAGGCAGCGTGGACGAACGGACACGGTTGGAGAGCTGCAGAGCCACCAGGTCCTGCATGATGGAGTTGAGCGCCTGCTGTTTGTCTGTAACGCGCAACACACAAAAGGATTGTCCGACCGAAGTAGCCACGTGAAACGACCCGACTCAAAGGCCAATGCCGCTTCAATCGTTATTCAAGGCGCATTGCGCTGTGGTAGGCTCAGCCGTGCAATCAAGTTTTAAAAAAGCTTTGTCTGCATTGCTGTTGCGTCCAACCGTACTGAAACGTGTTTTGTCTGGAATATTTTTAATTAGTGTCGCAGCAACGTTCACGTATACAATCATTTGGAAAAGGCAGATTTGCAAGCAACAAGAAGCGTGTCGTGTTATCTAACCATCTGTACTAAAATTATCAAAGCGAACACGAATTGCCCTCTAAATAATTCTGCAACGATTTTCCACGTGAAAATATTACCAAAAACACATCTATGTCGTTTAAAGGCTTTACCGTAAAAAAATATATAACGCATAAATATTGCAAAAGCCCATTTATTACCAGAATCTAAATTTAAACCCCATCAATAAATCAAAGTACATTACACTAGATTACACAATTTTCAAAAAATCCCAGTTGCTTAGCTATTAACACAGTGTCCATGCCAGGCAGCTGTGACATCATGCCAAAACGAGTCTCTTATGGTCTTCCATAATATACTGTACACATCTTCTAACGGCAAACATTTTTACATTTATGGTTTAAATACGCAGACGGATATGGTATAGATAAAGTAAAAAATGTGGAAGGGTATTTCTATTATTTGCAAAGAGTGTTACATTCCTGTATAGTTGTATAATATTAATCCTACAAGTGTTGATGGCAACAATCTAAATTGTGTTGGGTGGACAACGTAGATCTTAGATGAAGCAACCATCACGTGTTAATGTAAAATTATCTGTACTTTGCTAAATATGGCCCTACAATGCCACCTGTTCACATTCCTTCGGGTGTTTACAAAAAAATCCTTTGTTAAAGCTCTCAATATGGGCCTCTGGCTCTAATGCATATTAACGTTGTTGATAGCGAAAAAATAAGAAGCATTCAATACAACAGTACACCAACAGTGTTACTGTAATAAAGTCTATTAGAGGAACTAATACAATTGTTAGTAAACTCTGCGATAGGAAAAGGGAAAAGCCATGGTATTTGTCACGGGAAGATCTGCTCATGTGATGTGTGGATTTTATATATTACTAGCGGGAAGCACCCGGCATTGCCCGGGTGAAAAATATATAGAAAAACCTCTCAAAACTTAAAAACATAACATATACAAATGAAAAAATAACTTTGATCATTACCTCATTCATTAAAATTAAACCCAACGCGCGGTGGTAAAGAAACGTACGCTCGCGCGCCAAGATTCGATTCTTTAGATCGCGCAAATGAATCGAAGGTTGTAGATTTCTTTAAAATCGGCCTATTTCCATTGAATCGTTACAACCCACAACAGATATCGATTCTCGCCACACACTCCATGGTCATCCCCCCCCCCCCAAAAAAAATACAAGTCTATTTTTTATTTTACATTGTGTACAGTATGGGAGGCTAGCCACATGGCAAATTAAAAGTTTGTTACCTATTTCCCCCCTCCCAGCCGCGCATTTGTGCGGGATACACGGCCTACGCTGAGGGTTGGGAGGGGTGCGTCACGCTGCCACATGCGGGTGACATGACAGAGATGTGACGTCACCGCTCACTTGCGTGCAAAATATATTCATTATTACGCCCCCCCCCCCAAAAAAAAGTGTATTTTTTATAATTTTTGCATGGTGTACAGTCTGGAAATTACCCACATGGCAAATTTCAAGTTTGTTGCATGTCGGGAAGTACGCTAAACATTTTGAACAGACACATTCACAAATTTCCCTTTTATATATAATACATTTACAATTCACCATATGTACATGATGTAGAGTGCATTTGATTGAACTGTGCCATTTAAAACATCATGCCATTAAGTACATAAAACAGTACATAACATGAGCAGCTTACAGAACATCTTGAACTTCAGTGTGCCACATGTGCAAATGACTACATAATGCAGAATACTTAGAAACCTCAACACATTTACAGCAGTTAACATCTAACTTCATTTTGCTAATAAAATGATAGATGATTCTACTTCTTTCATTTAGCCAGTAGGCATATATCTTGGACAGCAGAAAATCTAATCGTTGCCTCAACAATAAAGCAGACACGTGACCAATTTCCCAAGCCAACCAACGCTGTGGACACAACTTAAAGAGCGACTTATGAACTTTCAGAGATACAAACAAACCTGTCCGTATGTCCAGTTGCCTGTTCGGACCGAGAGTTGGAAGTTCAACCACCGCGCAATAGATGGCGGTGGTGACATCTACATCTACAGAAAATTATGAAACTTTTAAAGCCATTCGCCGTGTTGAATGTACATGCCATAGAATGTTTGTAATCGACAGGAGTAAAGTTGGACTTACAAACAAATCGACTTACAAACAGACCTCTGGAATCTAACTCATCCGTAAGTAGAGGAGTCTCTGTACTGTTGAGGCCCAGTCCACCAGCGATTGTTGCAGTCATTTGAGGTTCCACCACAAAGCTCTCTCTGGTCAAGGGTCTAGCAATACACACTTGTGACAAAGATAAAGAAAAAAAATTCCCCCGTAAAGCCTGAACAGACTGTGGGGGCAAGTGCTGTTAGCGAGCACCTGTGAAGGCCGGCACGGCACACGAGAGGGTGGGTGACCAACACCACACCCGGCCGCCTTTGTCTCACCAGTGGCGATGCTTTCACACCGCACCAGGGTACTCATCTAAAGTCTGAGTCGAACTAGGGGAGGCCAATGTTGGTGGCCATGAGCAGGAATCTGACTCGGGTCGTCGGGTTCGTAGTGCAGCGCACTAACTGCTACACTACCGCTCTCCACACACTTGTGACAGGCACGGAGGCCTCAAACACGTTTACTACACCTCAGGAATGTTCTGCTCTAAAGCAACATGTGTGCTTTACTTTGTTTTAACGCACCGGGTAAATGCTTATCTTTACAGCGAGTGACACAACGTGCACGCTGCTAAAGAGTTACCGTACTGTATGGCTGGAGTCCCTGCAATCAGTTCTCCCTCACAGACCTTTGACGTTACAGAAAGAACTAGTGAACATGTTCGAATGTACAAAATAAACTAAACTTCGCAATACAATGTATGCAGAACAAAGGCCACGTAATATTTTTATTCCATAATATGTAGAGATTATGGGGCCTTCGGGGATTAATGCTCTGCAGCTTTAAGCCTGAATTATTAACAATGTACTACGAACACAGCTCAGGCTGAACACCTGTTGTTCTGGTGTGCCCAATGAAACGCAGTGCACGCTACAAAAAGGGCCATCCTCTCTCTCCTCCGCTCATTTCCCCTCATTTCTCCCTCTTTCCCCCTGGGGCTCAGCATTAAGCAAGCTCGCGGTACAGTCGGAGGTTTCTCAATGTCACATATAAGATTCTTTTAACATGTGCAGCGCAATTTGATGGCACTGCAGGGCGGCTTAGTGGCGTGTTTTGTGGGTTAATAGAACAAGGGTGGTGGTGATGAATAGCAGAGAAGCATAGCTGCTGAATGGAAACAAAAATATCCAGATATTCAATCTTAAATATGTGCCTGCAATCCACTCGATTAATGATATTTTGGTTTACAGATAATCAATCAGCATTCTAAGTGCATTGGCAAGTGAATTAATCCATATTTATTATTAAGCAGACTTAATGAATATGAATACAATGACTACTGTACAGCGACACATCATGCACATCCATTTAGAGAGTACAAAAAGCATCATGTGTAGCATACCATATTACATGAGCTTTTAAAATGCATACGAGCGCCTTTTGAGCAAGGTGATTTTTTTTGTTTCAAATCAAAAGCAATTTGACTGCATTATCAAATAATAATAAGTATTACACCAGTGCACAAGAACCCTACTGCTGTTTAAAAGTGTCTAATCCACAGTGAATGGTATGTGCACAAGGGTAGCAATGTGGAGGGGGTTTTCATCCGAAAAAATGCTGAGCATGTTTGGAAACCTCAGTTATGCAAACATTTTATGGTTACACTAAACACGCTAGCTTGGTAGTTACTGCGTGAAACATTACATGTCTTAAAGCTAATCATTGCTGAAGATGCATACGGCAACATAACAACATTTGCCTGGACAATTCGGTCGGTGTGCCGTACACGCAAGTCATGACGGACTCGAGAATTATCCCAATGAAAAAGTGCGGTGCAAAGACGCCACACTTGATCTTGATCAATGGCAATTCTGCTGAGAAATTACTTCATAGAACGAGCGAACGTGTGTGTGTCATTATAGTATCCAGAATTAAACCTCACCGGATATCACTATCTAGTGGCCTGAACTCAGTTGCCTAACAACAATAGCTGAAAAGTGAACTCCGAATTAGGATGTGGGTTCATTTCTGAGTCAATGTTTGACAATAGCTGTTTATTTACAGGAAGTGCATTGGTATTCAATTGCTTTGACCTGCCCTCTTTGAAGGTCCTAAAAATTGAATCAAGAGGAGACTGACTTCTCCACCGCGTCTGTTTGGACAAATGAAAATAGCGTAAATGTTCTGATTCAAGAAACGACCGTTGATGTTTATAACCAATGGTATCACCTTTAAAGTACCCACGTGTATCGCACGCATGTCTTTTCCGACTAACGCATCACTTACATATTTTACATTTAAAATATTAAATCAGCAGTCTAATCCACTTGTAATATGGCATGAGATGAGAGAAAAAAATAATCCTATCCTAGATTTATTAGACTTTGAATTCTGCCCGCGTCAGCTAAAACCACAACCACGATGAAATAAAATGTCTCTCACTAGAACCTCATGCAGCCTTCCCCACAACACCCATTAAAACCCATCTCTACAAATGCTTATGAAACCCAACAAGAATATGCTGTGGCAAATATATATTTAAATAATGGCGACCGTAAGCAGGGCCATTCAAACTGGCAATCCAGTGGGAAGTTCAACCCTCTCTGCACGAGGTCATTCCAGGTAAACCAATTAAACGTCACCCGCTGTCGGGCCATTACAGCATGCCCTACAGTTTATACAGATCTGGTTGCAATTGTAACAGCTCCAGAGCCAAAGCCTCGCTGTTATAGAACAGGAAATCTGTTTCGGTTTTTACTTCTTTGCTTGGCTTACTTTTCGAGGGATACCCTTATAATAGGCTAAATGTTCAGAGTATGGTTACACGTGTGTACACTGTGTGCTGAACCTCTCCTCGCACCGTACGGAGCCAACACGTGCTAATTTAAGGTACGACGACAAACTAGTTGGAGTTGGTGTTTGTATATAAGCAGTTGGGTTAAGGCCGCTCACTCATATTTAACGACCATATGCATGGCAATACATCTGGATATTTTTTCAGTTGTCGGTTAAACTTTTTCAATAGGAAAGCCAAGAAAACCCAACAAAGGGTAACTGTTCGACACACATTTCAACTGTAAAAAAAGATGAGAAGATCGAGTTTTATGTAAATCACAAGTCCATGTTTTTAGCACAAAAGCACCGCACATAAACAGAGCCATTAGTGAGTCAACCAACACTTGTTTTAAATAAACAGTCATTGTAAACACTAAATTGAAGAAGGAAAAACACAGAAGGCAATATTTAAAAATTAAAAATGCAGCGATGCACAATATATATCACTCGTATTTTCTCATATTGTAATTCATATCACATTTTACATGTGTAGCACAAATGTGACAATGCACATAGTGCGGTATGCGGATGAAGATTTTCACACATTATTTTGGCACAGCTCCTGAGATAATGCACGTTACATACACCTTGCCATGCATATTCCATGCACACTAAACTAAAACTATTCAAACTCTTTTTACTTTATCAGGCAAGGCCCACTGAGCTATGTAGTTATTTTTCAGAAGCGGCCTGACTACAGATGATAGTGGCATATCATGTGGAAATGTATAGCAGCCAAATTACTCCAAATACGCAAACAGCAACTCGGGATATGCAGATCTGTGTGGCCCTGTTCTCATTATTTCCCTTTTGAAATGAAAATAAAAGTACACATGGGTGGCAATACAAGTGATCTCCACTGTAGAACATTTTTGCTGAGTTAAGGGTAATTAAAGATGTGTACAGTAACAGAATGGGAATCTTCATCTATCCTGGAGAAATCTGACGAGATATGAAGCTCTTTTCTTCACAGATGTCTGGTTACTGGCAGGTCAGAAAGTTACCAACATCAGACGATATAAAATAAAAGCATGATAGGAGTGCAAAGTATGGGAAAGGTAAGCAAATCACTACAAATAAATCAAATTGGTACAGTATCTAAGTTCAAATTGCATAAGTACACACATTCCCAAGCTTGGGCAAGGGCATACCAGGTAAAACCATCAAGTAAAGGCAGACTACAGTCCTGAGAGTAGGGGTATTTACTAACATGGGTTAGGAGGCTATTTTTTCTGGCTATTTTTCTGACTGCAGTATCAGATTTATCTACTTTGTCACCAAAAGTCAGCTCCGTGATGTTCCATTTACAAAGTATGCATATGCAGTACACCGTGATATCCTCACACACAGGATATAGGTTTTTTCATCCAACAGTTTGATGTAGAACAAGTGTGTGGTGTGTGTGTGTAAAAATGTAGGCGTAAACATGAGCATAATACAAGATTAAATGCAACATAATTCCACAACTATGCATTATTGTCTCTTTCCATTCTTTGGGTATGAAATGAAAAATGTGGATGCATAACTCAACATGATTTTAATATTTGGCTTGATAAATAGAAACTCGGACGAGTGGTAAATTCCAACGTGACATAATTGTACGTGTGCCCTTCGGGGTTGTCCTTGCCCACAGTGTATTTTTGTCATTAATTGCATATTTTGTTATTTCATTAAAATGTTTTCAAGGGAACACGTTCTTGTATGATTTATGTTACTGTTGCACCTGGACTCAGGTGAATCTTAGTGAGAGATAGCAATGTATCTCTCTTAACGTTGGAAGCCTAACGTGAAGAAGCTATGTGAACTTTGGCAAGTTATTTTGTTTGTTCAAGTTAATTATTACCGTACATCGAATATGGGAAAACCCCTGCAACCCGTCAGGGTTCGTTAAACATCTCACGACAAGGTGTGCTGGAAATGCACAGGTAAATTAAAAGTGCGCATGGTTATTAAGAGCAAAAAAGGCAATTTGCAAAAGTCAATATTTCAGCATCGGGTTTACATTGTTAAAAAGTGCTTTGTGAAACTATTGCACCGGTCTCACTGTGCAACTGTATATGCAACTGGTAGGTGGAACTTTAGAAATTTGGAGACGGTGGCATGTGAAGTCACTGGAACCTTCAAGCTCGCTGTAATATTTTGGCACGCGACTGGTCGGAATGCCGACAAGCAAGTATAAGGAAAAAAAAAATTTTAGTAGTTACGCCGGTCTTGTGTCCATGTATTTAAGCTACAAATACAAAACACAAAAGGTAAACTCATACAATGGCCAGACACGAATGTGATCCCCACTATGTGGCAGCAAAAAACCAGACCACTTCCAAATCAAACATGGGTAATATTTGCCAGACAATTGTACCAGGCAAGGGCAGAAACTCTGTAATATGCAACTTTATCAAACACAAACACTTTGTAATAATTTCCTGTAACGTCTTGATTACAGGGAGACCATACACTATCATGGTCATCTGAAACCTTGGTTGCTAGGCAAGGGAGCCAAACAAGGCTCTCCCGGTTCGTGCAAGTTCCTTACAAATACCGCATAATTCAACGAAAGTACAATCGCACTCGATGCAATCTGCATGCAGTGCAAGCAGCGCACACTGCGTGCGGGCCATTTTAAAACTTACCCATCTTTAAGAGCTTCCAAGCTCCCCCTCTTGCAATCCCAGGTATGTCACGTGTGCGTCATTGAATATGCACTCAGCCTCCCACCTAAAAAGAACAATGGAATAAAAACGTTAGCATGCTAGAAATTTACCAGTGCAAATAACCTGAAGATGTATATTCTTGGTTCTTTCGGTAAAGTCACGTTGAAGGAAAACAATATATATATGAAGATGGTCCATGAGTTTAACACCAAACAAAAAAACACATGCGCATTTGGCATTTTTTTTTCCCAACTTAACATTCAAATTCTGTCTCACAACACTGACCTTTATCCAAACAGAATACACCATGTTTTTTCAGAAAATCCACTTAATCATAAGCAGGCCTACTGTAACTTGCCAGCACAATTTCCATGGTGGGCTTTCAACAAAGCTTTCTCGCCACCAGGGACCAAGCGGAGAAGGGTACGCGTCAGAAGCAGCTGCTGCCTTAGTGGTGATGCCCAGGCCCTGCAAAGGCTGTGTGTATCACTGTCAAAACTCGGCTGCATGGATACTAAAAGGGTCGCTCCTCACCAAGTTTACAAAACTCTTCATAAACCAACGCAGACTAAACCAGGGGGCGGCAACCAAAATAACAAGGAGCCATTTTTTTTCAAATTCGGTGTAAAAAAAATGAAGATTTCAAGAGCCGCAATGCAATGTGAATACGAGACGGTGGACCTTATTAAAAAAAACAAGCAACGTCACGAAGCAGTCTTTAAAGAACCGCGTGCTGCACCGGAGCCACAAGGTTACTGACACCCCAGGACTCAATCGATTCTTTCAATTGGGCCACAAAATCTCACATACATAAAACTCATAAACTTAACATGATACAACACAGCTCTTGAATATGCATGTTAAATTTCAGTGAGTTTTATCCAGAATATTAAAATCAATAAGGGATTAAGGTAAAAGTGATATTTTAGCCTGATATTTTGATTAGATTACATTGCCATAGTCGTGCACGTCACCTCCCAACCCATCGCCTGTCCTACCAAGGTACGAGCCATTTGGAATGAATTCACTGACTAGACAAAACAACAAACTGAAATAGATGTGCATCGCTACATAAGTTAATTAATTCCCATTTTTCTTGTGATGTTCAATCACCAGTACAATATTCTATTGATGAGCCATTTATTGTTGAGGGCCATCTTAACTGCATGTAATATTGTAGTACAGTTCTATTGCAACACACAAATACAAAGTCCGATTCAACACATTACATAAAATCCGTGATCTGGTTCCATCTGTAAAAGATGTGATTCCGGACATAGAGTACCCTGGCGTCTACAATCTAAGTTGCCTCTGTGGTAGTAGTTACATTGGAGAAACCAAACGACATGTCTCGGACCGCATCCATGAACACAAAGCAGACCTAAAACACGGTAGGACCAACACCTCGGCCGTGGCAGATCACTGTTATAATTCAGTAGGTTCACATGACATTGACTTCTCCAAGACAGAGGTTCTTTGCAAGACATCTGGCTACCATGAGAGATTCGTTCATGAGGCTATCCACATATACAAACACAGACAATTTCAATCGAGAACATGGATTCTGGCTTAGCAATCATTGGAAGGATTTAAATAAACCATTTCGGGTCTTAATTGATTGATCACGCTTACGGTGGCTTTCAGACCGCATCCATTATTTTTCGTCTCCCCCCTCCTCTTTTCCGAACATAGATGGACTCGTCCATCTGAGCAAACTGTCAATTCGCTATCCGTGGTGCTAACGTTAAAAAACCGCCACTTTTTTCAAATTTTCTTGTTGTGGTTTTTACACCTGATGATGATTGCTTGTGTTGCAGTCGAAACGTCGTGAGAATTTTATTGTTTTATATTTTTGTTTCCCTTCTACGTGACTTTACCGAAAAAACCAAGAATATGAATCCCTGCAGTCGCGAAAGCTTTAAATAAAAAAGTACAAAGTCCTTCACCTTAAAGGATGCAATAAACCAAGAGGCAACCGCCACTCATATTTTACAATTCTGGATGCATGTTCCCTCCCCCCCCCCCTTGTAAATGCAGTTTGCTTCTTTCTTTAATGAACCAGTTTTACCCACATCCTACAAATCCATACCTCGAGGATGCAGTTTAGGGATATCAACTTAACCTAACACCGATTTTACAAAGAACGTACAGTACTTATTAACGGCCCTGCAAAAAAATTACAACTCACCACAACTTGCGAACATAACGGAGCTGGTTGCTATAAAAACTAAGCACTCGATGCTGTCTTTAAATAGAGTCAGGTGAAATTTTGAGCAAACATTAATGTGCTTAGTCATTGCTATGTCACCTGATAAGCCAATGCGATGCAGACATAAACAATGGCAATCTGTGTAAAAGCTAGCCACCAACATCTGCAAATGTAAAGTTGTGATACAACTATTAGACATCAGTCCACAAAAGTAGATTGTGGTGTTAAAATGTTCAGTTGGTGTCAAGACCTGTAAGGTCATATACAATTTCAAAGCCTTCCACACCAGCTATAAACTGGCCCTAAGCCTAACATCACTGCACAGGTCTCAGATGTCCAGCATCTGCAAGGCAAGTAATTTTGCACATGTTATTTTCTATCAGTTGGCAACTTAAATAGTCGTGTTTTTCTTATATCAGTTGCATTTAAATCAAATAAACGCAGCGACTAAAAAAGTCTTATTATTGCTTGAAGACTTAAAAAAAGAGACCAAAACTGAAACATGACAAATGGCTCTGGTGAAAACAGAAAATGGTGTGAGATTAACAGGGAACCACTTTCATATCACGTGACAAAGCACGACTGAAGTGCGATCACGTTACACAGACGCACACTGGCAGTGGGAACGGACCATCCCATATGCACAATGTGCCAGTCTCATCCTCCTGCAAGCTTAATGTCATCCCGCATTTAGTTGCAGTAATCGTCCCAAAGACGAACACCATGGAGTGCATGTAACGTTGCAATGTTACTGTCATTGCTTGCAGTGGCCCTGAACCAAGTGGTTGTAATTCGATGTTCCCATGGAGGCAGGTGTATCAATGGGGCAATTACGTTGACTGTAGTTGCTTCCCACCAGGTCTGGCTGTTTACTGACCATGACCGGATGACGATTGGGGTCAAGTTGACCATGGTCACAATTTAAACACCTTTCCTCACAAATGATAACGCTGCCGGTTGGACTATTGTACCGTATATAACTTGTATGAAATGTGAATCGACAGCTTTAAACGCACATGTAACAACCGTATGAATCGATTTCAATTGAATTGTTGTATCCCAATAGGCAGAGGACAGCGGTGGAAAACTTGACTCGAATCAACTGCACAATTGGCTAATTTTAATCCAGTGCAACATTGAAACTCTAAACTGCAACTGAAACCACAAATAGACTCGACCTTAAACCATTCAATCGTTGATGTAATTAATTGTAATATTGCATCTACCACACTCCACGGCGTGCCAAAATCACCCGGAATCTATCCAATCTCGGAAGCTGAGCCTCATTGGATGGGCGATCACTATGCATTAAACAGGCGTCAATAGGCTGCTCGGACTACGTTGGAAAGCAAAGGCAATTTTAATCCGCTGTCAACGGCGTCTATGCACCCAGTGTTCACCAAGCCGCGCAAATCGGCGTGTTTAAACGCGTTTAGATAAACCCACACCAAGCCGGGAGGCTCTCGTCCAACAGTGAGTGGGATTTACAAGCGCTAAAATGTGATTAAACATCAAGTTCACGACACATTTGTGCTGCCGAGAAAAAAATAAATCGCGTGCGCCTAACTGGGCCCCCCTTTAGCAGCGGACTGGAACATTGAAGCGTTGCCTCAAGTTCGGAGAATCAATATGCATATTAAACAATCAACGTGTTTCCAAAGTTTAACTCGACACCAAAGTGCTTCAATGCGGCAAATGGCTTGGGACACGGTACGGTACTATACGGATGGCAGCAATGTGAATGATGATAAAGCAGCATAGGTTGACCAACATTTAAGATATCAATCAACGAATCAATGGATTTACAATTTACTTTTTGATCAAATAAGTGCTCATCATTGGAGTAAAATTATTTGCGAAAATAATTTGCGGTTAAAAGGAAATTACAGTACTTCCTTAAACAATATAATGTACTCCACTCAAGATCATGCCATCAAATGTATAAGTTAATGAATTAACGACACATTTCACTGGGATGCCATTTAGGACTAGATTAAATTATCAACAATATTCGAACAAAACATCCTTCTTAATGATTAAGTGCCCAAGTTGCATTCATATTTAAACTATTTGCAAACGTGTTGTCCGAGTCGTGAATGAGATAGCATGGCATTGTACAGAGGCCGTATACTTTTGCAAGCCGCTTATTCGCCTGGAATAAATCCAGCCCTATATAAATCTAATACTGGTAGGAACGAAGTTGTAAACTGAGTGTACCAGCCTGCAATAGATTAATGTGTCCGTCCGTCCCCTTTCAATACTTTAACGAAGTGAAATCTCGTGCTGTTGGGTGTACTCCGTCCCCTTTCAATACTCTAACGAAGTGAAATCTCGTGCTGTTGGGTGTAAAAAAAATTCCAATGTTCCTCCCAGCCCACCCTGCAGGGACCTGTTGGGTTAAAGATCTCCACGATGACTTTTTGTCATTGATGGGGGGGATGGGGGGGGCTTGACCATACTTCATCAATCTGGTCAGTTCTGGTGGGTGAAGTGGGGTGGTGGTGGGGGGCACCCAAAAACTACCGCTCGCCCACTGCTGCCAGCCGTGTCCGGGAAAACAGAAAACTTAAAAGGGTTCAAAGTGCGACGCGCCTTGGACCCACTGCAGCATCACACGGCTACACCACCAACAACCTTTCGGAGTCGGGGGAAACGCGACGAAATTCGACTGAAGCATCCAAAATGCGTGGCTCCGAAACGGCGTCGAATGACGGGCGAATCGTCGACGAGGAAGCCTCGTGCACTCACTCGCTCACTCACTCACCGTGGGGGCGAACATCGCAGATTCCTCCTTCTCTTGAAGCGGACTAGGTGGCATGAAGGGGAGGCGAAGAGTGAGGGGGACGGCTGCGACGATTCTGGCGCACGAACCACCTCACCCCCACCCTCACCCCACCAAAATAAACAGCCTCTATACACTTCTATGACAATCGAAAATTAATACAAGCGACCAAAAAAAACCTAAAATAATTGGCGCACTAGCGACTCGAAACCGAAGCTCCTCTCCACCCACCAGCCCAAAACCCTCCACTCTATAACCACTTTCAAAAACATGCAAACGAGCAGACTTGCACGGATAAAGTTTGGAGACGAATGATGGAGGGTGGGAGGAATTTAAATAAAAAAACCCCAACAACGAGCTGAGAGCGACTTTAAATGTTGTCAAAACTTTTAAGCCGCAGCGACCCAGTGGCACTCGGCTACGCGCGCGAGCGCCTAGGCCCGAGAAAGGCTCGCGAATCCGACTCGCAAAGTCGAACTGCCGACAATGAAAACACAAAAACAACAACAAAAACAACGACGACGCAACGATGGATTTCAGTCGGCGGTCAAGGGGCCCCGACCAACCCGCGGCCCACGACGAGGGACCCCGAGAGAGTTTTTTTTTGTTTAACGCCGCTCAAAGTGTGGCGAGCTGACGGCTGAACGGCGACCCCGATTATTTTTTTACCCCCCCCCCTTCCCCCCTAGGTTTGTTTTCGCGATTGAGAAAGCAGCCAGAGAGGCCGAGCTTCCCTCAGCACCACCAACAACCAACAACAACAACCATCAACAACAACCAACAACAACAACCACCACCACCAAAGTCTTTTGGAACGGGGCGGCAAAACTCGGAAGTTGCGCGCATCGCCCACGATCGATTCCCGTCGCGAATTGCGCAGGCGGCGGTGGCCGATAATCGAACGCCCGAGGCACGTTGATGTCCCCCGACGGGTTGCGATTTGATGTTTTGTGCAAGCAAACAAACAACAACATAAAGAGGCGCGCGCGCGCGCGGACCTTGACGCGGAACGTCCCCGCTTAGGCCGCCGACGTCCTTCAAATCGACGCGCGTCGTTTTTTGGCGTCGACGTCGGTCCCGATCGGCTCAGGAATCGAAGATCGATTCCTACTTCAGCTTGGACTCGAATCGATTGCTGAAGGAACCCCCCCCCTCCCCCCATGTAATGTTGTTCCTTGCGCGCTAGCCAGTTTGAATTTTCTAGCGCGGATTGACCCAGGGGCGCGTGGGGCTCTCCCCCCCCACCCCACCGCCTCGGCGGCGATTGGCCGGTGCGAGCGCGCGACCCTCGCAGCGGCCAATCGCGCGCGTCGTAGCCCGCGCGGGCGCCGCTTACACGCTCTGGGATATTGGAAAAGAAGGTGGGGTGGGGTGGGGGGCGCCCCACCCCGGCGCCCCACCCCCTCCGCCCCCTCGAGACGTGCGGCTGTGACGTCACTCGTTCCTGGCACGGCCGCGTGCAAAGGGGCATCGTGGAACTTGAACGGGGCCACATTCCAGCCTCGTGGAATTCCCATCCCACGGTGGCCACGAGATTGGCTGGATATTTGGCTGTGTCAGGTGGTGGCGGGTTTAACGACACATTACGGATTATGGATGATATTGGTCGCGAAAGCCTGCTACGTGTTCAACTGTTCCAGGAGATGTTAACTACCTCGCCTCCTGTACAGGAGGTCGTGGGTTCGTGCCCGACCCTGTTGACGTCCTGTGGTATACTGTATTTGTAGTTTGCATGTCTCTTTCTCATCATCTCGGTGGTTAGGAGATGTTAACTACCTCGCTTGGTATACAGGAGGTCGTGAGTTCAATCCCGACCCTGTTGACGTCCTGTGGTATATTTGTAGTTTGCATGTCTCTTTCTCATCATCACGGTGGTTAGGAGATGTTAACTACCTCGCTTGGTATACAGGAGGTCGTGAGTTCGATCCCGACCCTGTTGACGTCCTGTGGTATATTTGTAGTTTGCATGTCTCTTTCTCATCATCACGGTGGTTAGGAGATGTTAACTACCTCGCTTGGTATACAGGAGGTCGTGAGTTCGATCCAGACACTGTTGACGTCCTGTGGCATATTTGTAGTTTGCATGTCTCTTTCTCATCATCACGGTGGTTAGGAGATGTTTACTACCTCGCTTGGTATACAGGAGGTTGTGAGTTCGATCCAGACCCGGTTGACGTCCTGAGGTATATTTGGAGTTTGCATGTCTCTTCAGTAAATTAAACTAATTCAATGTTATTGGCCAATTAATATTGAACTATAGATACACAGGTAATGATAAAAGTTACAAATGACATTTGCATATGCGGCTGTATCCAGCACTAATCCTCACCACGCTAGATAGTGCGGGTTGGTGAATGCGCGGGTGCATAGATGTGAGAGCAGATGAGTACAGTACAACAAAGCATTCCCATACTTTAATAATAAATGTGCTGCCCTAGTTGCCATTACTTGCTCATGCCCACTGCTGGCATTTGGGTCTAATTCACGATGTCCAGACGCATAAGAAGTGCTGAGAGTACCCACACTTTACCCCACCACACGCTCCCTGCGATGTACTCAATGTATAAATACTGCACTGGCGGACAGAGGCGGGCTGGATTGAATAAACTTGCCAATTGTTTGAACCGCCGCGCCAGGAGAGCGAATCGTCCAGTGTGCTATCCATTACACCACGTTAAGCGTGTGCATATTGAAACTGGCATTGGTCATGCAGAAATTAAAACGTACACAGTGCTACGCGTGTTCAATTGTTGCCTTTTCAAATATTCAACATCCATTGCATGTAGGTGTGTTGAATTTCTTTCGCACCGTACGTAGCCAATCGTAATAATCGAATTGCATCGTATTCATATTTGTTGTGTACCCCAGTCAGCCTTCGCTAAGTATTGAAAATAATCATCTCAATTTCAACTCTCGAAGAGAGGCAATTAGCAACTTCGAGGTGAGGCAGAGGAACCGCACACAAGCAGGAATGTAGCAGCCATGTGGTGAACCGGCGCAAACAATTTCCCAAGCTCCGCGGTCCTCCATATACTCAGCTGTTTTCAGCCAACGAATGAGTGACTATTTTGTATGTGGGACGAGCACGGAGCAGCCGAAGGAATCTCCACGCGCGCAGCGGTTCGCCACACAGGTGGGACACGTGGCGGAGCCTACCGTTGCTGTACCACACTCTCCTGGCGAGCCGGGGTATATGGCACCTGGACGCCCAACAGGAGGGGAGTTTCACAACATTTGTGCCATCCAACCCAACCCTCGCCTCCCGCGGTGTGCGAGGTCGTTTCTTCTCGTCTCCACAGCGCCTGTGGTCTGGAACGCGCATCCACACCATCGCCATCGGCGCTGTTTGATCCCTGCCTCTGTTCAAGTCCTCGACTCAAGACGTTTTTTGTTACACTTTTTCCTCTGCCGAAGCCTGCCACTATTCGCGATGTATTATGCGCGGTGTCACTGAGCTGTGCGTCAGCGTCTAGATTCGCGGGTCGCATTCAGACGCCTCTGTAAATCCCCGTCGCATTGTATCGCACACCTATGAATTATAATCGGCGACGATCATAATCGGCGATGGACAAAGTTGGGCAAGGCAAGCCCCTGCTGCTTGCAAGGGTGCCCCGGGGGAATTGTCTACAAGAATCGCGTGCGCATGGAAACGAGTAAACACGGCCCCGTCCTCGCACGTGCGCTAGTCGCGCTGGTGCGTTGGGGGAGGGTGGTGGGCGTTCTTAGACGTTAAAGCGCCGTCTGAAAGTATTCCTTGGGCAATAACGTCCAAAAAATAATGTACGCTAAAATATTGGGTATTGGTAACGCCAAAGCCACGTGTCGCGATTTGTTTTCATGAGTTTCGTCGTTTTTTTGCCTTCAGTGAAATAAAAAAAACGCATAAGGAGATACGTCTAAAAAGATATCGTGTTAATTTGTTGCTTAAACTTGCGTTACCCCCCCCCCCCCCCCCCACTGCAATGTCGCTAAACTACAGCACTGATTTAAATGTTCTATGTATGGATATGTTTGATTCGTGACAAATACTGTACCGATCTCATAGCAGAGTGTCTGGGAAAGTGTGCACCCCACCTGTGTAAAGGATTAGTTGTTTAAATCCACTTGAAGGATTTGTTTTAGAGATCCTGTGCATAATCTCCTCGCAGGCCTTTCCCTGGCACAGATGGTTGCACTGCTCTAAGATATTTCTTCATTGATTATTAATTTAATGACATTGATGCCAAGAGCACTCATCTTCTTCAAAAACGAACTGATGGTTTCCGTGAGTTGCTAGATGAGGGTCGTGCGGCTCTTGGAGTCTGATTGACCATACTTCCACGCTGGTCCGTCAGTGTAGGCAGAGAGCATAGACGTGGGAGCATAGAAGTGCAGCACAACAATGGATTGTGCGACACAGCTTTATGCCGGTTGTTTTTTTTTAACGCGTGATGCGTTTTAAAAAAAGAAAGGAAGATGCAACTCAAAAAATTAATCATTCTTGAAGATATTTACGTAGGTTGTGTGTGTCCCAGAACGACATTGAGTTTGAACTTTCCTTTATTTGATAATAAAATCCATGAAACTACGATCAAGTAAGTCTTCATGACACTCCAGAAAAATTCATCAGACGTCAGTCACATGCGTACTGTGTCAATGAAGTGATACCACTAATGAAGCACCTGGTCTAAAGTTAAAGCTTTAAAAACACGTCATACGACCCAGGACTTATAGCCGAAGGAAGAAGCTACAAGGTAAGAGGTACAGCATTTGTGTACACTTATTTTTTTGTTATTGCGTCCTCCTCCAACTGTTTTTCATTCCATCTGGAATTGGAGCGCTGCCATTTGAGTCGAAAGAGAGAGGAGGATGTGGAGGGGTATGTTTCCCTCTACCATCGGAGATTGTCGCTTCTCCACACAAAGGTTGCATCGCCGCTCTGATGAAGACATTCGTTGTGTAACCACAATGTTAGACGGTTCACAACGAGCTCGCCGCTGTATTTCTTTGAAGAGAAAAAAAAACCTCGCAAAACGAACGTAACGCCCTCGCTGTAAATATCCTGTCATTCGCAATTGCGCTTTTTGTTTTGATGTTAATATTTAATGCGACGTCAGTGGAGCATTATTAGCGCACGCCTCCTCGCCACGGGCATGCCTTGTGAGATGTGCACTTACACACAGCTGTCAAATGCAAGGCAATTTCCTGCTGCGTGCCGAGAGAAGTTTGGCTTGAAGTTCAAATGTGCAGGGGACAGGATATGTTGACATTTTCGGTGCCATTTCGTGTGTGATAGCCACATTTAAATGCGCGCGTCAATATATGTGTACGTATGAATACTAAGATCGCCCGTGTAAGCCTTAACAGACTATTGGGGCAAGTGCTGCTAGTGAGCACCTATGAAGGCCGGAACGGCACACGAGGGGGTGGGTGGCCAGCACCAGGCATGACCGCCTTTGTCTCCCCAGTGGCGATGTTTACACATTTGAGGCTGAGTCGACCGAGGGGAGGAGGCCCAGGACCGGTTCAGATGATCGTCACTGGTGTTAATCGTGAGCGGGAATCGAACTCGGGTCGCCGGGTTCGTAGCGCAGCACGCGAACCACGGCATGCACACACGCACACACGGTGATCCATTGATAGATACCACACGTATACATTGATACATTACGGAGAAAACAACATTTAATCTCAAAGCCCCTCGATGTCTCCCACCAATCTCAGTAAACGTATTCAATCAGTAGCATTCTCCCGTGTAAATGGATCGACATGTATATTGCAAAACAGGGCTAAGCAATGCCAATATTCACGAACCAATCTTAACGCCCGATGCGTTTTAAAAAAAGGAAGGTAGGTGTGCGTGTCTCTCTGCATGTGAGTCTGCCTGTGTTGTTTCCGTGTCTGTGTTTTATCATTCATTCTTACCTGATGATGGTTGCTTGTGTTGCCAACCGAAACGTCGTATTCTATTGTTATTTGATTTTATTTTTCTACGTGACTTT